TTTGTTGTGTTCTAAAGACGGAGTGAGCTCTAAGCCTGATTCCATTTGTCTACTTAAACTGTTTTAACTCACAAAGAGAATAAAGTTTCCTAAGTTACACTTCTGTATATAAGTTCATTACCAAGAATATATTTTATCTCAAGGAAGTAAATTTTAAAATCTCATAAATATCCTGAGTTTGCCTTTCCTTTTCTGAGGAAGTTTTAGCTGAGACTATTAACTTTATCATACTGGTATTTTCCCATACCATATGTGATATAAAAATTTATAAGAAATATATATTTTGTCATTCAGATAAAATATATTTCTGAGATATATTTGGTCTTCATCCTCAGTTCCTAAACGTATCTCAGAGCCTTAAGATGAAAAGAGTATCTTATTATTTCTTATTATTAATGATGGTGACTTTTGGACCCCACCTAAGGGCAGGGTACTGATTTCCAGGAGGATCAACCGTGTGATTAGAGGGTTGGAACTTTCAGTCCCACCCCCCAACCTCTGGGGAGGGAGAGAGATTGCAGGTTGAATCAGCCAGTTGCCAATGACTTAGTCAGTCATGACAATGTAACACAGTCTCCATTAGAAACCCAAGAAGAACTTTTTGGCCCTTCTTTTAAGGAGAGCTTCCATGCTTGGAGAATCAGAATGCTTCCACATGCTGCTGAGCCAGGCCCCAAGCTCCAGAAGGGCAGAAGGTCCTTTGTTCCAGGCCCTGCCCTATGGTTTCTCTTCATCTGGCTGTTGATTTGTATCCTTTATCACAACTTTTAATAAACTGGTAAATGAAAGTGTTCCCTGAGTTCTGTAAGCCACCCTAGAAAATTAGTAGAACCTAAGGAGGAGGTTACTGGAACTTCTAACCGGTAGCTGGTTGGTGAGAGGCACAGTAACAGCCTGGGGCTTGTGACTGGCATCTGAAGTGGACTATGGAAGGCAGTTTTGTAGGACTGAATCCTTAACCTGTGGACTCTGCTGCTATTTCTGAGTATATAGTATCAGAATTGAGTTGACTTCTTGGATATTCTGTTGGTGTCTGAGAATTACTTGGTGTTGTGTGGCGGGACACCCCCATCAAGTTTGCATTGGGCTGGGAACCCTAAAAGATCACAGAAAGAATAAACTCAGGTTTATTATCAACAGGTATTGATATCAATAGGTATCAACAGTTTTGATAATTTTTTGAGGAGCAAAAGGAAAGTTACCTCTTACTTAGAAAAACATTACCAAAGTTAACTCCTCCTTGGACAATTCTAGATGAATTCCAAGTTCTGAATTTTAGAAGTTAAGTGTATTCTTTTCTCTTTTTATTAACATATAATGTATTATTTGTTTCAGGGGCACAGGTCTATGATTCATCAGTCTTACACAATTCACAGCTCTCACCATAGCACACACTCTCCCCAGTGTCCATCACCCAGCCACCCCATCCCTTCCACCCCCTTCTTTTCCTTTCTCTAGGATCTACTGATGTTTTGTTTTGACAGATTTCTATATATGCTAAAAAAGAAGTTGATTACAGGTATACCTTGTATTATTGCATTTCACTTTATAAAGCTTTGCAGATATTGTTTTTGTTTTCTTTTTAACAAATTAAAAGCACCTCTGCCTCAAGTGAGTCTATTGGCACCATTTTTTCCAACAGCATTTGCTCACTTCATGTCTCTATGTTATATTTTGGTAATTATTTCAAACTTTTTCATCATTATTTCATTTGTTATGGTGACCTGCAATCCGTGATTACAACTTGCTGAAAGCTCAGAGGATGGTTAGCAATTTAGCAATAAAGTACTTATTAGACTACAGTATAGTATAAATATAACTTTTATATGCAATGGGAAACAAAAAATACATTTGATTCTCTTTATTGTGATATTAACTTTATTGTGGTAGTCTGGGACCAAATCTACAATATCTCTGAGGCATGTTTGCACAATTTTCTTTACCTAGGCTACATATTGGAAATGTTTTCCTTGAGAATAGGTAATTCAGTAAATAAACTAAAAAATGATTAAAGTATAAGGGACGGGACGGGCATACAAGAAGAATTAGTTATAGTTACCTTGCCTAGAGGGAATTCAGAGAATATGTCACAGAGAAGCTCACACTTGAACTGAGTCTTGAAGGATAACTAAGAATTTTCTAGCTCAACATCACTCATCATGACGGAAATACAAATCAAAATTACTATTGAGATATCACTTCACACCTGATGGAATGGCTAAAATGAACAACACAAGAAACAACAGGGAGGATACGGAGAAAGGGGAACCCTCTTCGACTGTTGGTGGGAATACAAACTGGTGGAGCCACTCCAGAAAAGAGCATGGAGGTTCCTCAAAAAGTTAAAAATAGAACCACCTTATGACCCAGCAATTACCTTACTAGGTGTTTAATCAAAAGATACAAAAATACTGATTCAAAGGGACACATGCTCCCTGATGTTTATAGCAACATTATCTATAATAGCCAAATTATGGAAAGAGCCCAAATAAGCCATTGACTGATGAATGGATAAAGAAGATGTGGTGAACACACACAGACACACACACACACACACATACACACACACACACACAGGAATATTATTCAGCCATCAAAAAGAATGAAATCTTGCCTTTGCAATGATATGGATGTAGCTAGAGTGTATTATGCTAAGTGAAACAAGTCAGTCAGAGAAAGACAATTATCATATGATCTCACACAGATGATCACAGGGGAAGGAGGGAGACAAACCATAAGAAACTCCTAAGTAGAGAAAGCAAACTGAGGGTTGATGGAGAGCAATTTGGTGGGGGTACAGCTTAAATGCATGATGGGTATTAAGGAGGGCACTTGTGATGAGCACTGGGTGTTATACATAAGTGATGAAGCACAAAATTCTTTTCCTGAAACCAATATTACCCCATATGTTAACTAACTAGAATTTAAATAAGAACTTGAAACAAATATGCAGACAAATAAAGACAGTATATGTATATATATGTGTATAAAATAGAGATGCATAGAACAAAAGGTCTGTGGCAACAAAGACCAAATTTATATTTAGTCTCTATATTTCTGTATTATTTGGCTCTTCTACAGGATTTGCTTATGCATCATTATAAGATAAAACATGTTTGAAAAGAAAACAAAGGAGTTTTCTAGGAAAACAAGGGGAATGGATAATTTATGCATAGGGGAAAGGGTCCAAAAGAATAGAGGCAGAACACAGCACTGAGAGAATGAGGAACTGTTAATAGGATCCACAGGACTGCAACATTACTAGTTCATAGTAAAGGAAGAAACTAAGGGTGATTAAAGCGACTAAATAAGCAATAAGATATTGAAGTTAAGAAGTTTAGAGGTAGAACAGCTCATGGTGATAAAAGAATCCTGGGTGTGCCTAGGGGCATGTGTATGAGTTACTAAAGTGGTGTTGAGATGAAAGATCTTTTTTTATTTTTTTTAAAGATTTTATTTATTTATTTGACAGAGAAAGATCACAAGTAGACAGAGAGGCAGGCAGAGAGAGAGAGAGAGGGAGGCAGGCTCCCCGCTGAGCAGAGAGCCCGATGCGGGACTCGATCCCAGGACCCTGAGATCATGACCCGAGCCGAAGGCAGCAGCTTAACCCACTGAGCCGCCCAGGTGCCCCAAGATGAAAGATCTTAAACTTATAGAGCGGTTATGATGTTGGATGGGCTCTCTACATGGATCTAAGTGACTACATAGATCTAAATGATGATCTAAATGATGAAATGACTATTTCATCATAAGAAAACATGATCAGGAAAATCTGGACAACTGTAATGTTCATCCAAAGTGGTTAATAGTCTATACACCAGTTAAGAACACAACTGAAATGAAAGACCATTCTAATAACACAAAAATCCACGATAAAGGTGTAAGAGCATTCAAAGAAATCTGTTGTCAGTAAGAAATTATTTTTGTTCCTATCATCATAATCACTATCAATGATCCACTATCATCTTGGGAAATCAAAAACAAATGGAAATCATACAGCAATCATCACAAAATGTCATTTTAAAATTTCACTCAAGGGTTTCAAGCTAACATAACAGATTCACAACACAGAAATAGGAAAAATTTACAGTAAAGAAAATAAAACATTTTATCTATTTGAAGTTCTCCAATTACTTTTGTGATTGTTAAATAATACAGATATTCTACTGGAAATATAAATCATTCTGTTTACTAGTAAATTCTCAGTGGTGTAAGTGTCCAATAGACCCATTTAGTTATGGTCCACCCGTACTTCTCTTGATAAAGATCAGGGAGAAGACAGGATGATATCATTAATTTTAAGTGACAGAAAACAATACTAAATTATTAGCATTTATATAGTACTTTTCTCTTAGGATCCTAAAACTTTTAAGGCACAACCTTCAATGTTATATCATTTCAAGGATACAGGTAAGGAAAAGCTATTTACATTTCCTTTTTATAGGATAGAAAAATAAGTAATACACAAAGTTAGATGACTTCAAGTTAATGTTATCAGTGATCAAACAAAAAAAAATTAAGGTTTCTTTATCCTTGGTTCATGGAGCTATGTTCTAAAACATGCTGCTTAAGAAGGTAGGATCTTTTAAGAATTCATTTACAAAATGATTATGACTCCTCTCAGGAGTCACTTTTTTTTAAGTTAGATTCTTATAGTAGATTTATATAATTATTTTCAGTTAAGTCTATTTTCAAATAATTTTTGGCAGTGGGGCAATTAAAGAGGGTTCTCACTGTAGAATCATTGAGGGACTCATTACTACCCTAATGAGAAGTGCTATCAAAATTCTGTTGTCAGTTTCCAGGAACAACTGGAATGAGGGAAATATTCACTAATATCTTGATACTAATACCAAAGGAGGTGAAAGCCTTTTATATTCTTTATATAAACTGTCCCCAATTGCTCTTTGTTGTTTCACCAAAATATTTTAGCTCTTCTTCCTGTTGAACTATACACTCTTAATTCAGTAGTCCATCTGAAATGTTGACATACTTACTGGCTCTGAGAATGTTCTCCTTGCTGCTGCACCTGGACTGGACCTGCAGAGAGAGCATAAACTCAGTAATTTAGGGCTCATAACACAGATAGCCAGATATGTATGCATACTTAATGGGCAAGCTCCTGAGGTTTAGGAGCAAAGGCTTAATATATCTCAGATATCATAACAACTTAGTAAAAATATATTACATTTGTTCCATATTTAAAAAATTTTTTTTTCTTACTGTAAAGGAAGAACAGACTTCTAGAAAAAAATTGGGGTACAACATTAAAAATGGGACAGAAGCAAAACCAAAGGCAACTTTTTACTGATGTGCATCGAAATTAGTATATGGAAAAAATAAGTTACCACATAATCAGCTACGAATACAGACCCTTATTCTTAAGGCACTATGATAGCTCTTGACTAGACTAATAATGCAGCTCAAATAATAAAGTTATAATAAAATACTCCATTGTAGAGATTTTTAATTATATATGTTGATAAGGGGAAAACAGAGAAATCCTCATATACAATATTTATGTGATTCCAATGACCTTTGTTATTTACTGATTAAAATAATAACAAATTAAAATATAACCAACTAAAATAATTGGTTATTAAAATAATTGGTTATAAATAAAATATGGGCTATGAAAGATGACTTTGTTGGAAAATAAAATTGAGTTCATTTATTTACCAGTTCTCAGGTGTTTATATAGAGTTTATCAATCAGAAACCCTTATGCTTTGTTTATAGTTTAGGTCAAAGCAGAACATTCGTTTAAATGTTATAAGTACTGAATTCAAGAGCCATGTTGTATGGCACTAACATTTGTTAATATCAGAGAAAATTGTACTTAAACTGCACACCTCTTCTTCCCACACCACAGCAGCTTGCCCCAAATGGATATATATACACAACAAATTAATTTCTATTGCTTAACACAAGCTACTATTGTAATGAAACAACTTATGAAAGGAATGTTGCAACTTAGGGTGGGTTATGGTTGTCCTTCCCTGAAAAGAACAATTGTTAATGTTTAAAGAAACAAAAACAATAAAAAAATCACACAAACATACACACAAGAAACACACACACACACACACACACACACACACCAAAAAAATAAAGGGAAAAAAGGGGAAAAATAATTCCAGATGTTATAGTTATTCTCTTTTGGCCCAGATTATTTAGTTTTAAATATACTAGAATGAAGAAGCTAATCTGAAAGATAATATTATATTCTTTCACTCAGAAGTTTTATTGAAAAACAATTCTGGGCCAAATGAGAAAGGAAATTAATGATTATTTGAAACAAAAATACAGGGAGGAAGACACGAGAGTGAGAAAAAGAAAAAGAAGAAAGAGAAGTTTGGGGAAGTAAGTCTAGACAATAGAAAAGAAAGTTTGGGCTTATAGAAGGGGACACTATGAATATACAAAATGTTCTGCTATTTCTTATTGAAAACTCATACTAAGAGGGTAAGGATCACTAATGAACTTGCTGCAAAATAAACAAGCAAGTTTTCATACCATGGAATGAAAATGGGTGTAACTAGACCACTACAGCCTTAAAGGAGAAAAGAAACAAACACTAATAGACAAATTAATAGACAAGCTTAATAAAGAGATAAACTACATTTTAAAAAGCAGTATAAGGAACGAAAGAGAAAGCTAATAGAATAGGAAAAATCTGGGAGAGAGAAGGAAAAAAAAGGGGAAAATGCTGAAAGACAAAAACAGAGTTCAAAGAAGTCAAATGAAGTCAAGAAAGTCTTCAACAAGATGTAGAAACAGAAGGAGCCCAAACCCATAGCGCAAAGCAATGTTTGCGAATGGAAAGCAGCTCCTTTGATCAGTAATAGTTACTCTTAAGTCGTAGCCTCTATTCCTCCAGAGTTCATCTTTAAGCCCTTCCAATCTAGAGTGGAGCTAGTGTGTGGATAGAAACAAGAGATTTATAATGAACAGAGCAGTTCAGATGAGTAGTTCAAATTGTCTCATCAAATGTTTCAACAGATTTATGTAACATCTAAATGGCAATGGTGGTGAAAAACTAGCTAGCTTTACAAAAAAAAAAGTCAAACCAAACTAAAACAGCAATTTTAAAAACCCTGTCTTAGGTGGCTTAAAATTAAAAAAAAAAAATTGGTTCATAGCATGAATTCAATAATCAAACCCAAAATCTTGCTTTGTGGTACCTGAATTTAGAATTATATATTTCATGGTTTTGGAAGATAAATTTGAATGATAAAAAACAATTCAGTTTCCTGAACAAATTGCCAATAGCAGTATAACCAATATTTTCTCATTTATATTACATTGGCTATTTGTTCCAGATTTGAGGGAAATCACTTAAATGATTTCATGAACTTCTTTCCTTATTGACCTTGAGTATATATTAAAAAAACTGAGGAAAATAATTTTAAAATATAATATGCACTTTATAAGTATAATATGCATTTAAAATATATATGCACAAGCAGATCCCCTCTCTCATGTACCATGAAACTGGTCTTTATAATATTTACCTAATTTTACAAAATCCAGATATGAAGATTTTACCTAACTCACAATGTAATGGGATTTACTTGAAAGAATAAAGTCAAGAAACAATTACTGTTCTTGTTCTCACACATAGGGACTAGAAAGAAGGTAACAGAGGTCTGTCCCAAGTTTTACAGTTTACTGTTTTTTGTTTTTTTTTTAATCTAACCCTGGCTTTTTAGTCAATGAAAAAAAAAAAACAAAGGGAAGTCTGAAAAACAAAATGAAACTGAAATTTTGGCCTAATACCAAATTTGTCAGGGATTAAAAATGAAAGGTATGGTACTGGATTATCTATTACTTTATTTTATTGGATTATGTTATTTTACTATAGTTAACATCTAACTTTATGGTGTTAACAATACACCTTTCAGCTGGAATTAAACTAAAATCATGTGTAGAAACAGCATTATTATATTACAGTCAATGGAGGAAATGAAAAACACAAGAGACTTACTGAAAACATAGGTATTCATTTACTAATCAAGACTGCTTTCAGACATCAAATAATTCATTTAATTCATTTCAACATGTGTTTACATGTGTAATATAATTTTTGCTGAGGATCACATTGTCCAGTAAGAAATCTTAAGCCATGAAACAGAAAACAAAAGAGGGGAGAGCATGTAATAAATGGTAAGGAAAAAAGTGAAAATGCTTTAAACAGAGCTGAGAAAATTTTAACAAACAACCACAATCTTTAGATACAGTTAGAGAAGTGACTTACCTTATGCTTAGGTCATAACAAGAATAGCACAGTGTTTAAAGTCAGCTCTTCATTATGGGAGGTACAATTGAAAGCCATAGGTTATAATAACATGAACTGCTACACAGAAATGAAGACTTTTTCAGCCCAACATGAAAAGCTAACTCTTACAGGAGAACATTTCTACTGATGTTTAATGCAGCATGAAGAACAACTGAGGGTGTAAACATCAAAACATATGAATCTCACACCAGTAAGAGAGATAGTCCAATCTCTCAGGAACACAGAAGATTTAATCTGTGACTATAATCTGTGACACATAAGGGAAGGCACATCACTCTAACACTGAAAGATGCATGCATAATGTATAACCATCCACTGACAACTCTCCCCACCCCCTCCCACTTGTACACACACAAACCCATTAAGATACAGGGAAAAAATGTAGTGCCAAGCTGTTATGAAGAAAGCAGGACACACGGAAGCACAGCAGTGGTCATGTGATTTGAGAGGTGTTCTTCCCTTAAACCATCCCATCACCATGCTTATTTTAAAGAAGCCAGGAAAAGACCCCCTTCAATGCTGCAGTAGCTACGAGCCCCCAGCTTGAAGCTAATGTGTGGAATTTTGATCACCGTTCCCTGCGATGTCAGGGGCTCTCCAGTGGAAGCCAGATGTATAACACCAGTTAGTGGGGTACAAAGTGTGAATAACAAACATCCTTTCCCTTCTGCCTTTTGCAGAAGTGAGGGAGGAGAGAAACAAAATAAAGCCCATGTTAAGAATAGGTTCATAACAATATAAAGATGTATAAATATTAAAATGGAGATTACATTTAATTACAGGTTAACACAACTCAGGTTTCATAAAAACTGTCTCTATTTTGCTGCTCACCAGGATAATTTGTATTCTTTCTCCTTGCAAATATTAGGAATAAATCTATACAATATGGTTCATACTGAATAATTCTCAGCAGTTGGGTCAGATAGGGTCAAATGGGAACAAAGGAAGTCATCTTTGATGGACATTAAGAAAGCCCTCTCCTATTTTTAGCACAATGATACTGGTCAGCAGTCACATTAGAAATTAAGCTTCTGTATATATGCTTACTAATTTGAGAAATTCTATGGCAATGGTTTGGAAAGGAAATTTAATCTTAATGCTACATTTAAAAAAAGAAACAAAGAAGACTACCTATTTAGAAATTGTTACTAAGTTTCCTATATACTCTTCTCTACTGTCAATAAAACTTATTTTAACATGAGCTGTTCCAGCTCATTAGAAAAAAGTTTCAAATTTGCTTTCCTATTATTCATGATGGTAGTTGACTTCATCTATTTTATCTTTTGGTTTATGTGTGGTATGCAATTTAGCTAGATTTTTAATTTTTTAAAGATTTTTATATTACGATTTTCTCTCCCTCATCCTATTCTTAGTAGGCCAGAATATCTTGACATTTCCCTTAGCATGTCTTTATTATTCTAGGCTCTAGGTGCTCCTTTAATAAAAATAAAGATTGTTAAAGGGCTCGAGGGAGAAAAGACATGTACCAGAGATTTTAAGCTATAAAGGTAGAAAGAAATGTCAGTTGTGATCATGCTATGATCAGTGGAGGCACTGACAATTGTAAAATAACTGTAATCACACACTCTCATTGTGACTTCATTACTTCATTGTAACTTCCACATTAGCTCAGAATGTAAGCAAATTCTTCTTTTTGACCCAAAGAAAGAAAGAAAATCCATGTATAGTTATCTGTTTTTCAAGACCGATTGACCAAAACTTTTTAGAAATGTCATAGCCAT